ATCTGGCTTTCATTTGCAGCCCTCTCCCCCAGGTGATCATTGCAACACCCACCCAACCTCCCCCTTATAACCTAAGACTTTATTTCCTTTACTTCTGCTCTGATCCAAAGCATCCCTGAGCTCTCCTGCAAACTTCCCCTCCCCTTTTTCATAATCTCCTGTATTTTTGGGTCATGCTCCACTTTCTTAGGCTTTCCCCTGAGTTCCAGTCTTCAGGCATCTTCCTCTGTATTGTGATTATGCAAATAACTTAATTGCTCCTCTTCTTGCTGACCACCTTAAAGACTTTTCCCAGCCCTCCTCCCTCTTTGCAGTCCTCTCTCCTTGCCTTTCCTCCTCCCATCACCACCATATGGGCTCACCTGGTAACCTTCCCAACCCTGCACCTCTTCCCTCCGCATTTCCCCCACTTTAGGCTTTGGGGTTTCCAACTTTGTAGCCCCCTCCCCTTGCCCCTAATTTTAGGCCCACTCCTTCCTCTCTTCTGCCACCATTTCCACCTTGCAGGCTTTTTAGACGTGAGCTTTCTTTGACTGTGCAGTCACCCCACTCTCCCTGCATCCCTTCACCTTTCTAAATTGACTGTACCCCATCCCAGTAATCCTACCATAGCTCTGTTGCGATTTTAAACAGAGGCTGGATGGCCATCTGTCAGGGGATTGGATTGGATAGCTCTTGTATGATTCTATGATCCCTCTCAGCTCAGCTCTGTGCATGATCCCTGTGGTCACTTCCAACTCTTACTTACCCTATATTGGTGAATAATATATCATTTGTTTATATATATCTAGCGTAGCTAGATCCCCCTATCTCCTTGCTGTTATGTGCCTTCAAGTCGACTCTGACTTATGGTGATCCTCTCTCAGAGGTTTTTCTTGGCATGATTTATTTAGAGGAGGTTTTGCCTTTGCCATCCTCTTAGCCGAAGTGACTGTGACTTGCCCAAGGTCACCCATTGGGTTTCCTCATGGGATAATGGACTCCCCATCTCCTCATTTTTGAATATGCAGGCCCCTTTTCTAACCCTCACAGTTTCCATTATATTGGCAACTCTGCCATACCATTGCAGCATTGGCTCTTTAATTGCTCCACTTCTGCTCTGACCCTTCCCTGCAATCCCTTTGGCATCCTCCCCCCCCCCCTTACCTTCATTGTAAACCTAACCCAAGTGCTTACAGTGCAACATTCAGTTTTGTTCCAGACCGCCTGTCTGGGGCAGGTAGCCCGCATCTTCACTTCATGTCTCCCCTTTTTTTCTCTAGAGCCTTAGATTTCTACTCTTCCCCCCCTCACCCCTTTGAAAAATAAACCCCACTGTCATGTATGATTTTTGTTTCCAGAAGCAAGAGCAGGCCTCGCCCCAGAAAACGAAATCCAATTTTAATCCTGGCTATCACAGACCCATTGAAATCACTGGGAATTTGTTAATCCCCCTATGCTTAAGCCCATGGATTGCAATGGGCCTGCCTGAGTTGGAATCCAAATTGGATTTAGCCTTTGGTCACATCCTTCCTGTAATTTTGTTTGTTTGCTTGTTTGAAGGACCTTTCGGGAATCCTGCCGCACAATATTTTTCCCCTCTCTCAGAGGAGCATCACTTTTATTTGACCCTTCTTTTGTGCAGTGAAGCTAAAGGGGGGTGGGGGGGGAGGTTTTGGAAGAGGGAGAAGGAAGAGGATGGGTGGCACTTCTCTTATTTTCCAGGTCAGGGCTGGTGGGTGCATGGGAGGAAGTTTGCTTGGGTTTTTGTGGCTGGCTTCTAGTCCTCTGTGGCTGGGAGGAGAGGGCAGGGTGATGTCCTGGAGCAGTGATTCCCAAACTCTGGCCTTCCAGGTGTTTTGGACTTCAGCTCCCAGAATCCCAGACTATTGGCTAAAAAGCTTGAGTTTTCTGGGAGCAGGGCAATCCAAGAATGGGGCAGAGGGACCCATGATTCTCATGCATTTGTAATAGTGTGTGTGTGTGTGTGTGTGTGTGTGTGTAGGGCTGGTTGTTGAAGAGCATTGTCTTTTGCTGTGGGGCAGCCTTTGCTTGGGGGTGTGTGAGGCTCAGGAATGCTGTCTCTCCGTCCTTCCTCTTGACTCCAGCAGCCACTCAGCAGTTTTGAAAATACTGTTTTGTTTTTAAAGCCTCCAGCCTCCTGTTCCCATTGTATCTTCTTGGAGGCAGGGAGGCAGGCGGCCACGCAGAGATGCTCTCGCCATTTTTAATTGGGGCACTGCGCTCTGCCTCGTACTCAGGGTTATTTACAGAAAAGGCATCAGGCCTTGGGGGGAGGAGGGGAATGGCTGGCGGTGTGGGCTGAATCCTAGCTGTGTGTAATGCTCTTAAATAGTCACCAGGGCACTGACCCTGCGCAGTCATCCTGGGGAGGATGAGGGGAAACCCTTCCCCCAAAATGTGCTGGACCTCACAGCCATTTCACCACCATTGGCATTTTACAACTAGGCTTGCTGCTGGAAGCCAGCATGCTAAATAGTTTTGTTTGTTTGTTTGTTTGTTTGTTTTCTTTTCCTACAGGGAAAGGCATCCCTTGCTATCTCAAAAACTGCCAAGTCTTTAAACCAGCTCCTATGTTTCATCTGTGTTGTCTTGTAACAAGATTATAGACTTGGGGGGGATCAGAAAATCAAAAGCATCCCTGCGTAAAAGCGATAGGTTAGCGGTGGTTGTCTTTAAGAATTATATCTAGGTTATTTTTTGGGTGTAGCTAGTTAAGCAAATTTAAGCTACATAAATTGCAGGGTAACTAACTAATGAAGAACTTGAATATTCTTCACATTTGCCATTTATCTGTAAGAATTAGGGTGAATGTGAGATTTTTGCATATTGTGAATGTGAGATTTTTGCATATTGATGACTCTTTGTATATATGTAACTCCATACTTTTGTCAATTTTGATAATATAATCATCATCATTATTAATAAAATATGGATTTGAATATGTGTAAGTCTCACATGTGAAAAGTTTATTCATAACAACAAGAACTGGTGTGGTTTTTTTTCCTGTAGTTAAAAAAAAGCACCCCTGTACCTTTGTGGTTCCATTTTGAATTATGGGTAGTAGGATCAGTTCCTAGAACATTCTCCCATTAAAACAAAGTAATTTCTAGATAGAAAACCATGGTGTGAGGCAGACGTATCTCAATTGTCTCTGTGTGGAGTAGGCTTTATGTGGAAGAGCATTCTGTCATATGAGCAACCACCTGCCCTCTGAAATGATTCAGCTCCAATTCTTAGGTGAGAATTAGGCTTGTGCTACTTTACAACACATTGAGACATGTGTATGAAGCATGTTGTCATGCATACCTTAATGGTATGGGAGCCTAGAATCAGCTTAAGCAGTTTAGTTCCCTACATTATCCAGAGAAGTGGCTGGACCTTAGTGGGTTATCCTTCCTTCCTTCCTTCCTTCCTTCCTTCCTTCCTTCCTTCCTTCCTTCCTTCCTTCCGGACCTAAAGGTTGAGTGTATTGAAATGCAGAGATCTAGTTAATACCTTGATAGCTAAAAAGGGTTCAGATCATCTTGGAGCATCAAGCCTAATAGTTTGATCTTTCCTCATATTTCCAGGTCCTGTGTCCTCTCAGTTTGACAGTAAAATAGCTGTCTGACTAGTACAGTAAAATACCAAGAGTTGCTTCCC